AAATATAACATTCTAGAAGTTAACGTTGCAACGTGAATGAATTGTAAGGGTTTAATATAATTAAAGTAATTAAACATAATTAACCCATTAACTTATAATAAATTAATTAAATTATCTCATAATTTCATGCTTTAACTTGAAAGGAGTTACTGCTGATTGAGTCGCCATCTGTAATATTATATATTTAGGCGAGACTGTGTTTACTTTGAGAAAAAAAATCCACTCTTCTACAATTATACACATTCATCATACTATTAAAGGAATTTTACATTCTATATCATTCTCCAACTCATTTTTTCATACTATTTTGGTGAGGTAAGAAAAGTGCAAGTGATTAAATTCTTTTATAAATTTTGACATGAATTACATTAAGGCCTTCGAGTCGATTTTTATGTTAAATCCTACGGGATGGACCGTTTGGTCAAGTATGTAAATCCTATGTGATAGAGGGATTTTTATGAAATTCCTTGAGCTATTGGATGTTGCGACTAGTTCGCTCTAAATCTAAGAAATGTCAGTATGTCATGTCATTTTGCAAAAATATCATTATGATAAGATTATGTACGTTTTTTTTCTTACTGGGTACTTTTTTTTTAAAATACTCACCCTTACTAAATTTTTAGATTAGAACGAGTCGTGTAGACCTGTGGCAGATTGCTCGAGTGATGTTCGTGGGGTCGCCAAGTAAAATTTCTAGAAATAATAATTTACAAAGAAATCTCATTTGAAGAATATATTCACATTTTTGGTGTTATAGAATTATTTGCCAATTTCTATTTCAAGAATAATTTTTATTTTATGTTTAATTTCGTGCATGTTATTTTAGTAGATTTGACATTTAAGTTATTTAACATGTTAAATTGACAATTTAGTTCGTAGTATTTTAAGCTAGATAAATCTTCAAATTTTTATTTTGAATTGCCGAACTCACCTTATTGGTTTAATACGAAAATTTATATATTAGTGTTAAATTCCGCTTAAACTATAAAAGAAGGATTTTGGTAACACTTCAAATCTTTATAAATAAATAAATAAGTAAAATGTGTAGTGGATTTGGGGCATTACATTATCCCTTATATTGAACCAATCACATATTGAACCATAACAGAAACCCTTATAAGAGATTGTTGTGCAGAATCTCATACAGAATTCCTTACCAAATGGTCAAAACCTCTTTGGGAAAACCTAGACTTCTTTATAACATTGCCTTTCAAAAAGAATAAGGATGTCAATCCAAGAAAACCGAGTCACACGGAGATGAGTCCTAAAAATTTGGAGCTTGCCACAAAAGAATTGGTTCAATTACAGTCAGAATGATTCATAGAACCCACTACATCACAGTGGACGTGTCAAGCATTTTATGTCAACAAAAGAAGTGAGCAAATCAGAGGAAATTTAAGACTTGTCATTGACTATAAGCTGTTGAATCATTTTCTTACAGACGATAAGTTTCCTCTCCTCAATAGAAAAACCATATTTGCAAACCTGGCAAAAGCAAAGATTTTTTCAAAATTTTATCTGAAGGCGGGTTTTTGGCAATTAGGGGTCAAACCAGAAGAAAGGCACAAAACAACATTCTGTGTACCTAATCAACATATTTAGTGGACGATTATACCTTTTGGGCTAAAAACGGCACCTTCATTATTTTAGAAGGCAATGGTTAAAATCTTTCAGCCACTACTAAAAACAGCATTGATTTATATTGATGATATACTATCGTTCTCTGAAAATAAGGATATCCATGATTTGCTAATCCAAAGGTTCACAGAAATTGTCACAGAACATGGGATCATGCTATCAAAGAAAAAGATGATCATTGCAGTATTTGAAATTGATTTTCTCGGGATGCATATAAAAAATGGCAACTATTCACTCCAGCCACACATTGCTGAAGAGCTCCTCAAATTTCCCAATGAGAATTTAACAAAACAACAGGTCCAACAATTTCTTGGTGCAATAAACTATATGACAAACTTTTTCAAACAGTTGACTCCTATTATACGACCTTTACAGGAGATGCTTAAGAAAAACCCTCCACAATGGTCACCCAGATAAACTCAAGCCATAAAAAAAATCAAACAAGAAGTCCATAACCTTCTGGCACTAAAAATTCCCACTGATGGAAAAAGAATTCTACAAACAGATACAAGTGATTTATACTGGGGACTAGTGCTTTTAGAAGAAAAAAGATGGTGAAAGAAGAATTTGTGGCTATAAGAGTGGTATGTTCAAAGAATCTAAGAAGCATTACCATTCAACATTCAAGGAGATTCTTGGAGTAAAACAAGGAATAGAAAAGTTTCAATTCCATCTTATTGGTCACAAATTTCTGGTAAAAATGGACATGAAGGCATTTCCTCAAATGCTCAATTTCAAAAAGAACCAGATTCTAAATTCACAACTTTTAAGATATGCGGAATGGTTTTCCAATTTTGACTTTGAAGTCAAACACATCAAAGGCAAACACAATATTTTACCTGATTTACTCTCCAAAACAAAACCTCATATTCAATCACAAATCTCTACCATCTGTATGATGAATCCATCCTCACAAAATCCTCATATTCAAAACTTCACTCCTGAACTTCAAACTCTCATTACAAATCAAACCATCCACTCAAGATCGAAGGAACTCATGTTGAAATATCAATCCATTGTTATTGGAAAAAATGGGATCCACCTTCTTGGTGGCTTTGCTTTCATCCAGAATAACCATTTTTAAGCCTCTTTTATTTTAATC